AAAAATACAATTAATATAACTCACATATAAGCAATAACACACAAAATGTAAAACCTTATGGCCGGGTCAGATGTAATAAATTAAAACATTTAAAATAAACACTGGGTGTGAACAGAGGTAGGATGTATCTAAGCGGGAGGGTTTTTAAAGATAATGTAGGGAGACCAACCCAACGGGTAGTTAAAGTGCTTCTGAGGACATTTTGCACAGAATTGTTTCTTTTATTCAGGCAAGGCACACTGGAACAGCCATGTTTTCAAGCTCCTCCTAAAGACTGCTTTAGGAGTCTTTAGGGGGGCTTGCCAGATATCCTTGGGAAGTGAGTTCCAGAGTCGAGGGGCCACCATAGAGAAGGCCCTCTTTCTCTCTTTTGTTTCTTCTCTCCTTCCTTCCCTCTTTTTCCTTCCTTCTTTCACCTTTTTATTTCCTTCTCTCCTTCCTTCCTTCTCTCCTTCCTTCCTTCTTTCCCTCTTTCTTTCCCTCCTTCTTTCCTTCCCTCCCTCCCTCCCCCTTTCTGTGTGTATATATCCATATATGTGTATATATATTTGTGTATATGTGTGTGTATATATGCTTTGCACATGCATTGTAATGTATTTTTGTGGGTTTTCTTTAACTTTTAAAGTCTCTTCTGCTGTGTTTTTCAATGTTTATGTGAGTGATGGTCACTCGTTGGCCTGATAGGTGTATTGTGTTCAAATTTGGTGTCAATTTTTGAGTTATGTTAATCTCACAAACCAACATGACATTTTTGGAGTTCATAATGCTCTTTGATTGTAGGTAAACTATAAATCCCAGCAACTACAACTCCCAAATGACAACATCAATCCCCTGCCAACCCCACCAGTATTCAAAATGGGGCATATCATGTATTTGTGCCAAATTTGGTCCAGTGAATGAAAATACATCCTGCATATCAGGATGATTCATAACAGTAGCAAAATTGTAGTTGTGAAGTAGCAACAAAAATAATGTTATGGTTGGGGGTCACCACAACATGAGGAACTGTATTAAGGGGTCGCGGCATTAGAAAGATTGAGAACCACTGTACAGGATTTAGGATAAAATAAAGCCAAGTGAAATGATGACACAATTGTAACATATTTATTTTAAAAACCTATACGAATTTACATAATAAACACAATAATATCAAACATTATCTCAAAATATATTTTCTAGCTTTAGTCAACATAATTTTTTTCCAATAATTTCAACTTGCTTTGCTAAATCATTCTTGAGATACATAATTTGACCTTTAAAACAAAAAAAGTGATTGATTTGGTGCTTACAATGAGAAAGAAGTCTATCTTTTTCTGTGGTGAGAAGTGGCCAAAGCCCAACTGTGTTTTTGGTTGCCAGGAAGGGAAACATAGCTGGTATTTCCGTTGTTTCTCTCTGCAGAGGAAGGAGAAGGACTCCCCTCTCTGTGGAAGAAGCACAGCCAGACTTCCATCTCTTCTCTTAGCAATGACAAGTTCCTTTGTTGACAGAGAGAGGCACCCAAAGCAGAGGAGGCTTTCAGGAGCCTACTGAGGATGGCCTGATGTTCCACTCAACTTGCCCTTATCCATGGATGGAGTTTTTGTGGGTAACTGAAACTGCATAATACGAGCTCACATGATATTACCATTGTACTACTCACTTCTTCAGATGCAGGATGAAATGCAATAGTCAAGCATCCAGTCAACCTTCTACATTTATTGAGGTTAGGGGCAGAGGAACCCCATGAAAGTGAAACAATGCAGATAAATACATTGCTATTAATTTCTATCAAGAGAACACCTTTCTAGGAATGTCTTGGTTCCATTGGAAGCTGACCACAGAATTGCATTTAAGGACCTAGAGATTCTTAGAAATGTGTTCTCTCTAGATATCTCTAGGTCCTTTAGCCTGACCAGAAGAAGTTGCTCATACAGTCATACTGGAAGACCTAGAGCAGTGGTTCTCAACCTGGGGTCCCCAGATGTTTTTGGCCTACAATTCCCAGAAATCCTAACAGCTGGTAAACTAGCTGGGATTTCTGGGAGTTGTAGGCCAAAAACATCTGGGGACCCAAGGTTGAGAAGCACTGACCTAGAGATTTCTGGAGAAAACATTTGATTCAAATCCATGAATAATCAAATCTGCAAAAGTAAAAAAAGGAAATCTGTAGGGATGACTGAATCTGCACAGTTAAATAATTGTTGAAGAATAGGATGCAGAGCTGAATGGGAAGCAGAATGAGAATGACAATGACACAGATTACCCTCAGTATTCAGAGGTTCAACTGGACCCCCGACCCCACCCAGAAAAAGGGTTGGATCCTTTCCCCACGGAAGTCAACTGAAGAAAAAGCAAAGATCAACTTGTTTGTATCTGCATCTAAAAATACCAGCCGGCCTTCCTCAAAATCCAGGGACACACGGATATTCCTAGGCTCATGGCTCAAGTTTAAAGGGACCCACTCAGGAGAGTTTAAGACGGAGAGCCGACAAGGTGAAGGTGAGTCATATGGCCTCTTCCCCACAGCCCAGATTCCTTCATTTGGAGTAAATTTGAAAATCCCCTTCCTCCTGACAGACTCTCGAGCGACCCCCAGGGCCCACATTGCCCCCTTCTCTTCCTCCACCTCCACCTCCCACCAATGTCTTTCTGAAGCAAATCTCTCTTGGCCCAACACACAGAATTCCCGGTTGAATCTTGTATGGCAGTCAGGCAGGTCTTGGTATCTGTCCTCCCACTTCACACTGGTCAAACCTTCAGTCAGGATGAGGAAGGGATGTGCTGTGTCTGGATCTAAAATCACATTCACTACAGAACAGTAAAAGGAGAAAATGGAGAAGTACTTTGATGGAAGATGCTGTTAAAGAAAAGGTCAACAACAGTTGCAAGACAGGACCTTAAAAAAAACATTTGCTTTGAGCTTCACCTGAATGTGGTCACCAGGGCCCCTTCCACACTGCTCCAGTATCCCAGGATCTGATCCTAGCTTATCTTCTTATCCCAGATTATCTTGCAGAGTCTTTGAGGACTGAGACATCCGTAGGGATACCAAGGCACTTGTTTATAAAGCTATTGTCCTCCTAACCCTGTTATATGCCTGCAAAACGTGGACTATCTACAGACATCATATGCAACTCCTTGAACAATTCCATCAGTGCTGCCTCTGAAAAATCCTGCAAATCTCTTGGGAAGTCAGGCAGACAAATGTCAGCGTGCTGGAAGAAGCCAAGACCACCAGCATTGAAGTGATCAAATTTCTCTAAGCACCTCAAATGTATTTTCTTAATAACCTACATCAGGGAATGTGAAAGTGAGACCCACGAGATGCAAATGGCTCCTAGAACCCAAAAAGTGTTTATGTTCCCCAAGTGTCCTCTGGATGGTATTACCACATTTCAGGCATTGCTAAACCATTTAAAGCTCAGGAAAGGTTGTTTTTTCTTCTTCTCAAAAATAAGTTAACTGAAATTAGACTTCCAGTTCATTTTCTGCTGCAAAAAAGACATTTCTTGTATCTAAAACAACCCAGTGTTCAAAAACATAGCAATATTGTCTTCCTAAGGGCATTCAGGGGCTTTTAGGTGCCAAAACATTGAATCTTCTTGAGCATTGCCTAAGGTCCCTTCTACACTGCCATATAAAATCCAGATTATCTTCTTTGAACTGGATTATATGGCATTGTAGATTAACATAATCCAGTTCAAAGCAGATAAACTGGATTGTATATGGCTGTGCAGATGGGACCTAAGATGTCTTGATGGCAAATATGGTCCTTACCTCACAACAGTTGCCTCCCTTGAATTATATCAATCTTCCAGAGTAAGCGAAATTACTTAGGTCCAAGTTGTAGATATGGGTGAGAAAATGTCATTTGAATTAAGGGTAATGAGGTAGTATTTTATATTATTTTGTTAAGACTTGGACTCTGGAGACGAGGGTATGAATCCTTGGTTTGCCAAAGAAACCCACTAGGAGTACATCTGTACAGTAGAATTAATGCAGATTGATGCTACATTAACTGCTGTGGCTCAATGCTATGGGATTTTGGAAATGTTCGATTGATGAGGCTAAAGACCTTGTGAAAGTACAACTCCTATTATTCCAAAAGATCACATCAAATTTAAGTGGTGCATTAATTCTGTAGTTTAGCTGCACCCTGTAAGACCTTGAGAAAGTCACACACTTTCAATTCTTGAAAATGCAATGGCAAATCCCCTCTGAGTTAATTGGGCCAAGAAAGCCCTGTAATCTGAAGACATCCCACAACAACAGTGATTAATGACTAAAATGTGAGTTGAGATGAAGACATCACTATTCGCATATCATCCCTCAACCAGTTCCATAACTGTGTTTGATTTGGAAAGAGATGCATGTTAAACAATTTCTCTCCATTAGACATGTCCCTACATTTCCATGAAGTTTCCCATCTCCTTTCATTCAGTGTATTACCTTTGTTCTGTGCTTCCTTTGCTGAATCTGTGTGAAAGAAAGGGAGATAAAGTGAAACTCAGAGTATTGTATATATATTCAAATATAATAATAATAATAAAACTTTATTTACATACCGCCCTATCTCCCCAAGAGGAATCAGGGCAGTTTCCAAACATTCAATTGCCAGAAGGGAAAACAATACTAACAAATTAAAACAAAAATCGTAAAAGATAAACATAAAATCCTGCTAAAACAAACACAAAACTTAAAAAAAAAAAACAGTTTTATTAGAACTCCATCATAGAATCATAGAATCACAGACAGCAAAACAAACACCACAAGGGTGTTAACCTTCCCGATGCTATCCAAAGATAAACAGACTGAGACAGTCAGTCAGTCAGTATTTAGCTGGAGTTATACTTAGAAAATGTACCTGTTCTGACTTACATACAAATTCAGCTTAAGAACAAACCTACAGAACTTATTGTTTGTAACTTGGGAACTGTCTATAGTAGTGTACTATCTCTACTTGTTATTAACTACCATTAACTACCATCAAACCAATTTCAACCTATGGTGGCCCTATTAATGAGGGAACTCGAGATCACTCTATACAATAGCCCTACTCAGGTCTTGCAGATTCAGGGCTATGGCTTCCTTGATTGTGACTAACTGTTTATCTGTAATGTGATCTTCTTTTTTTCTTACTGCTATTTCCTTTCCCAAGCATTATTGTCTTTTCTCATGAGCAACATCTTCTCTAGCCACATGGAAATATTGCATTAACACACAATATTATCTTATTAGCCAGAAAAAAAATGAAACACAAAGTTACAGAATGGGACACCTGTCTCGAGAGCAGTACATGTGAAAGCAGTACGTGCTACCCCTCTATTCTGCCTTGGTCAGACCACATTTGGAATATTGTGTCCAATTCTGGGCACCACAATTGAAGGGAGATGTTGACAAGCTGGAATGTGTCCAGAGGAGGGCGACTAAAATGATCAAGGGTCTGGAGAACAAGCCCTATGAGGAGCTGGGCATGTTTAGCCTGCAGAAGAGAAGGCTGAGAGGAGACATGATGGCCATGTATAAAAAGAGAGCAAGCTTGTTTTCTGTTGGCCTGGCATCTGGAGAACAAGCCCCATGAGGAGTGGCTGAAAGAGCTGGGCATGTTTAGCCTTCAGAAGAGAAGGCCGAGAAGAGATATGATGAGGGCCATGTATAAATGTGTAAAGGGAAATCGCTGAGAAGAGGGAGCAAGCTTGTTTTCCGCTGCCCTGGAGAATGGGATGCAGAACAATGGCTTCAAACCACAGGAAAGGAGATTCCGTCTGAATATTAAGGAAACCTTCCTGACTGTGAGAACTGTTCAACAGTGGAACTCTCTGCTCCGGAGTGTGGTGGAGGCTCCTTCTTTGGAGGCTTTTAAACAGAAGCTGAATGGCCATCTGTTGGGGGTGCTTTGAATATGATTTTCCTGCTTCTTGGCAGAATGGGGTTGGACTGGATGGCCCATGAGGTCTCTTTCAACTCTATGATTCTATGATGTGAGCACCACACTGAATGAATTAATGTTTGGAAACGTTGGGTGAGGTCTCCTTACAAGTTAGCAGGTAAACTCCCCCTAAAATCTAATTCTACCATTGAAATTTCCCTTCCCATCCATACTGCCACAACATTTACCTTTGGGAAATGTTTCCTTCAGGTTCTCTGTTAAGAAGAAGGAAAAATGACACATTTATTTCAATAACAGCACATTCTTATATATCCTCTAAAACAAATTAAAACAAAGGTGATATTGAATGAATTCATACTTCTTTTCTTTTTCATATTCCAGTCTTTAACGAATTATAAAAAGTTTTAACACACATACAGACATCCAAATATAAACACTGGGCAAGTGCCACATCCATGAGCTTTCAGTTAATGGATTCAACCTCCTGTGGGTTGACTCTGTGGTTGGGAGCATGTCACATCAGCCACACACTTCTGCCTTCAAAGTTCCTTTGCAAGGAAGAAGCAACTTGATTCTGGGAATTGCTGCCAGCTCTCCTGCTGCCCTAAACTAATATTTGGCTGAACACATTCACAGTCTCTCTGCAAATTCACTTTGAGTGGCCACTAAAAGCCTCTATGTTGCTCTGCACTCACCTGGGGAAGAAAAAATAAAAATTCCTTCAACACCAGTGGCTTCCAACCTTTGGTCCTCCAGGTGTTTTGGACTCCAGGTGTTTTGGACTTCAACTCCCAGAAATTCCTGCCAGCTTAGGAGTTGTGGGAGCTGAAGTCCAAAACACCTGGAGGACCAAAGGTTGGGAACTACTGTTCTACACTGATGTCCTATGACAGTTTTAAGTGAATATGCTCAGTCTTTCTGCCAGCCCTGCAAAGTGAATGTGTTCATTCACTTGCAAATATGTTCACTTTAAAATGGCACAGGGCCCCAGTTATTGCATTGGGCTACCGCTGTACCAAGTTCAGAAGCTCCAATTAGTTCAAAACACGGCTGCCAGACTAGTTACGGGAACATTTAAGAGTGAAAATATAACACCTGTATTAAAGTCACTCGACTGGTTGCCAAATAGTTTGGGAGCAAGGTACATCAGCGTTTCTCAACCTGGGGGCTGGGACCCCTTGGGGCATCAGAGAAGTCACCAAAAAACATCAGAAAACACAGTATTTTCTATTGGTCATGGAGACTCCATGTGGGGAGTTTAGCCCAAATCTGTCGTTGGTGGGGTTCAGAATGCTCTTTGATTGTAGGTGAACTATAAATTCCAGCAACTACAACTCCCAAACGACAAGTCTATTTCCCCCAAACTCCACCAATATTCACATTTGAGCATATTAGGTATTTGTGCCAAGTTTGGTCCAGATCCATCATTGAGAGTCCACAGTGCTCTCTGGATGCAGGTGAACTACAACTCCAAAACTCAAGGTCAATGCTCACCAAGCCCTTCCAGTATTTTCTGTTGGTCATGGGAGTTCTGTGTGCCAAGTTTGGTTCAATTCCATCATTGGCGGAGTTCAGAATGTTCTTTGATTGTCAGTTAACTATAAATCCCAGCAACTACAACTCCCAAATAACAAAATCAATTCCCCCTACCAACCCCACCAATATTCAAATTTCGGCGAGTCGGGTATTTGTGTCAAATTTGGTCCAGTGAATGAAAATACATCCTGCATATCAGATAGTTACATTATGATTCATAACAGTTATGAAGTAGTAACCAAAATAATTTTATGTTTGGGGGTCACCACAACATGAGGAACTGCATTAAGGGGTTGCAGCATTAGGAAGATTGAGAAACACTGCCCTACATGGGGTGAGTGCTGGTTTCCTACCAGATCGCCTTCTCCCGTATAATCTGCCCCAACATTGAGGTCCTTTGTGGGGATGTCTGCTCCAATCTGCCAGAACCTGATTGGCAACCATCAACCAGAGAACCTTTTCATCAGCTCCCCTATGACTGTGGAATGACCTGCCCTAAGAGCTATCACAGCTGTCAGTATCAAGATAGAACTGAAGACCTATCTCTTCCATCAGGTCTACCCGGGCAATTTAAAATTGTGATTCTTATATGTATACTCTCTTAAAATACATGTATTTTAATACATGTATTTGTATTGTATTTTAATCCTTGAACTATGTATTTTAATATATGTATTTTATGATGGTGTGTTTATGATACATATTTCATGGCCATGTACTGTGCCCTATCTCAAGCTGTGAGGAGAGCTGGGTAACAAATAAACATTATTATTCTTATTATCATTATTATTCACATTTTTTTTGTTTAATACATACTGTAAATAAACATTTTGCAGGGACATTTATATGCAAAAATTGCAGCTGACTGAATGGATGCAAAGAAAGTCATGACAGAAGTAGTTGCTGGTGGAAACTGATAAGAACATGCTGAATCAGACCCCAGGGATATATAATTCAGCATTCTGTTCACACTGTGGCCAGGGAATTGCACAAGGGAAGGACAGAAAGGTATCCCACAATTTCCCCAAACAATCAATATATACTGGCATAGTGTTTGTGATAGTGTGGCTAATACATTGCTGTACTAGTGAGTAGCCATACAAGATTTGGTTAATTTATCAACAAGAGTAAGAATATCAACTACAGTCATCCCTCCACATGACTATGTGATCAACTTCTGGCAGATGCTGACTCTACCATAATACTGGAGGACTTAGAAATTCTTAGACGGTATTAATCAAATCTGTAAATAGTCAAATCCACAAATGTGGAGAGCCAACAGTACATCAGCCAACCTGAGCCCCCTTTGAAGAAACAAACCAAAAAGTAGGGCTGTGGGAGAATATGTGAGAGTGGTTTGCTTATGAAATGTCTCCTAAAGTCCTTCCTTAAGGAAAGACTTCACTTTCCAATCAACCAGTATGGAAGCCCTGTATTCACAAGATGTAGATCCATTGGCCTTTCCGTGCTGCTATCCCACCATACCGTCAAATGTTTCCATGGCTTTTAATAGAGCTGGCCTTTTCTGGGAGTAACTTCTAAGTCTTTTTTCAGGTCTTGGAAAAAGGTCAACCACATGTCTCAGTTGTCCCTCTTGGTACCTGGAAAGAAGATGGATCAGAAAGGAGATGATTAAAAACCATTGGCTCCCTGCAGGCTTGCAAGATGGATTAGGACTCTGTGACCTAACTTACTTAAGAATAGATTCAGGGTGCAACTACGCTATAGATTTAATGCAGTTTGACTCCACTATAACTGCCATGGTTCAATACTAGGGAATCCTGGGATTTGGCAAAGAAGACTAATAAAGTTCTTGCTAATTACAACTCCCAGGATTCCATAGCATTGCGTCATGGCAGATGAGTCAAACTGCGTTAATTCTTTGGTGCAGACGCATCCCCACAAGACCTTCATATGACAATTTCAGAATTGATGCTCCTCCACCCAATTTTCTTCTGTTTTTCTCCATATTGATTTTTTTAAGGTTCAAACAAATACAATACCAACAGCTTCTTGGCCATTATTTTCTGTCAGGAATGACTATTGAAAACTGAAATTGAAATGTAAAAGTTCTAGGACAGTCATTCGTCCTCATTTGCAGATTTGATTATCCAGTATTTGACAACTGGAATATTGTGCCCAATTCTGGGCACCACAACTGAAGAGAGATATTGACAAGCTGGAATGTGTCCAGAGGAGGGCAACTCAAATGATCAAGGGTCTGGAGAACAAGCCCTATGAGGAATGGCTTAAAGAGCTGGGCATGTTTAGCCTGAAGAAGAGAAGGCTGAGAGGAGACATGATAGCATGTACGTATAAATACATGAGAGGAAGTCATAGGGAGGAGGGAACAAGCTTGTTTTCTGCTTCCCTGGAGACTAGGATGCAGAACAATGGCTTCAAACTACAAGAATTGTGAGAGCTGAAATCCACAACACCTGGAGGACCAAAGGTTGGGAACCACTGCGTTAGATTAAAAAAATAGCACTTTAATTCATTTTCCTACTTTTGTGTGGATTTTGTGCCATCAAAAAGTGTAGGCCCTATTGTATAATGTTTGAAAATGTCTTTTCAATAAACAAAGAAAATACTGGTTGATGAAGAAAATGACTATTCAGTGTATGCGTTGTAGGCCAAAATACGTGGGGACCTAAAGGTTGAGAACCACTGATCTAGAGATTCCTAGAGAGAACAATTCTCTAGACATGTATAGGTCCTCCAGAACATTTCTATTGGAAGAGTCAAGACCTCACAACCTCTGAGGATGCTTGCCATAGATGCAGGTGAAACGTCAGGAGAGAATGCTTCTAGAACATGGCCATATAGCCCGAAAAACCTACAAACCCAGTAATTCCAGCCATGAAAGCCTTCGACAATACTATTTTCAATGTTTGGCATCCCCAGTATAAAGGATATACAAAGCTATCTGCAGCCGTTGTACCTTTTATTGTTGTGGCTGTCTCAAAAACAGGTCTGGGGCTCTTCCACAAAAGGAGGTAGAGAACCAAAAGTGGAAAGGAGAAAAATCCACCTACCTTTTCAAAGTACTTCCAATGTCCTGAAAGAAATAGAAAAATGAATCCAAACTAGAGAAGCAGAACATATGCTGGGCCACTATTTTGTTCAATGTGGGATTTATTTGCTGTCTGGGAAATTATTATAAGCCCTATGCAGTTCAGGTCCTGCTTATTTATGCAACCACATTTCTCTTTATGAACCTGTTCGGGCATTAAGATTGGCTGGGGAGGCCCTCCTCTTGATCCCACCTCCACCGCAAGCGAGGTTGGTGGGAACAAGGGAAAGGGCCTTCTCAATAGTGCTCCCCCCGCCCCCCGTCCCTGGCTCTGGAATACCCTCCTCAAGGAAATCAGACAAGCAACCACCCTCATGACTTTTAAGGACTTAAAAATTTTCGCTATTTAAGCAGGCCTTTGAAAATGATTAGTAACCCTTAATGTGGATGAGGTCTTTGTTTTTATGGATACACTTGTAAAGGCACATTGGTTTTTAATTAACTTATTTAATCTGTTGAAATTATTATGTTTTAAATATGTTTACTGCTTATTGTTTAAATCAGAGTTTCAGGGTTCAGAATGTTCTTTGATTGGAGGTGAAGTATAAATCCTAGTAACTACAAGTCTCAAATGTCAAGGTCTATTTTCCCCAAACTCCACCAGTGTTCACATTTGGGCATATTGAGTATTCGTGCCAAGTTTGGTCCAGATCCATTGTTTGAGTCCACAATGCTCTCTGGATGTAGGTGAACTACAACTCAAAACTCAAGTCAAAGCCCACCAAACCCTTCCAGTATTTTCTGTTTGTCATTGGAGTTCTGTGTGCCAAGATTGGTTCAATTCCATCTTGGTGGAGTTCAGAATGCTCTTTGATTGTAGGTGAACTATAAATCCCAGCAACTACAACGCTCAAATGACAAAATCAACCCCTCTCCACCCCACCAGTATTCAAATTTGGACATAGTGGGTATTTTGCCAAATTTGGTCCAGTGAATGAAAATGCATCCTGCATATCAGATATTTACATTAATTCATAACAGTAGCAAAATTACCGTTATGAAGTAGACAAAAATAATGTGTTATGGTTGGGGGGGTCTCCACAACATATGGAACTGTATTAAGGTGTTGTGGCATTAGGAAGGTTGAGAAACACTGATTTAAATGTTATTTTGTTTTATTGGTTTAGTTTATTAATTTGTCATTTATTTGTATATATTGTTTACTGTGTTTTACTCATGTTGTGAGCTGCCATGAGTCCTTTCGGGGAGATGGGATGATATAGAAATAAAGATTATTATTATTATTATTATTATTATTATTCCAAAATTTAAATCTTCCTTATTTCCCATAAGCCAAGTAACAAAGCTTGCATTAACTCTCACTTGCAGCAATTTGATTGGTGGCTGCTGACGCGTTTTCTCCATCTCTGAGATCAACGTACTAAGACGACCAATTTCTTCTGACAGACGGATGATATTTTCTTCCCAGCTTTTCTCAGTCTCGTTCTCCATTTCTTTCAGCTGGTCAAGCCAAAGGCGTTCTTTTGCCTTAATACATTTCTGCATTTCCTTGAAAACAGACCTGATCTCATCCTTCTCCAACCTTATTTGTGTCTGAGGTGAGAAAAGAAAGAATTAGTATTTTATTGAATGAGGCAGGCAAACTGGCACTAAAGTTGGACTGCCATCTTTGGAAATAGTCCTTGTCACACAATGCCATATACATCTCCTTGCAGATCTGCCGCTTCCCTGTGATTAATCCACATCACAGGCCACGTAGCCCATCTGATAAGGTAGTTAGTTTACCTTCTGAAATCCCCAATATGTGAATTGGACTAACAAAGGCTCACCAAAAATGTTTGCTTCTTCTCCTCTTCAGCCAGTTTCCACTCAATGGCAGTTGTTTTCTTTTTTTCCAGAGATTGTTGGAGGGCCTCAAACTTGTCCTACAAAAACAAAACAAATCCCATCCCAACAATTACAAATTCTGCATTTCTATTACTATTTGTATTCTCCCTTGCCATCCAGAGATGCCTTACTCCATGTTCAGCAGTGGAACTCTCTGTCCCAGAATGTGGTGGAGGCTCCTTCTTTGGAGGCTTTTAAGCAGAGGCTGGATGGCTACCTGCCAGGGGTGCTTTGAATAAAATTTTCCTGTTTCTTGGCAGGGGTTTGGACTGGATGGCTCACGTGGTCTCTTCCAACTATAGGATTCTGCGATTCTATGTATCCCATGAAGTATGAAGACCACAAAAATGGACTGGGACATTCGTAGGGAAACCAAGGTGCTTGTTTATAAAGCCACTGTCCTCCCAACCCTGCTACATGCCTGCGAAACATGACCTGTCTACAGATGTCATACGCAAATCCTGGAACGATTCCATCAGTGCTGCCTCCAAAAAATCCTGCAAATCTCTTGGGAAGAAGCAAAGACCACCAGCATTGAAGCAATGCTCCTCCGTCATCAACTCCACTGGACTGACCACATTGTCCAAATGCCCGATCACCATCTCCCAAAGCAGCTACTCTACTCTGAACTCAAGAACAGAAAACAGAATGTTGGCAGACAGAAAAAAGAGATTTAAAGATGGGCTTAAAGCCAACCTTAATAACTGTGGCATAGACGCTGAGAACTGGGGAGCCCTGGCCCTTGAGTGCTCTAACTGGAGGTTAGCTGTGACCAGCAGTGCTGTGGAATTTGAAGACGCATGAATGGAGGGTGAAAGAGAGAAATGTGCCAAGAGGAATGCATGTCAACCCAACCCTGACTGGGACCACCTTCCACTTGGAAACCGATGTCGTCATGGTAGGAGAACATGTGGATCAAGTATAGGGCTCCACACCCACTGCCAAGACACCACATCAGGAAGACAATCATCCTTGAGCTATGAGGGATTGCCTAAGTAAGTAAAAGTAAGTAAAAAAAATGGGTGCAATTCATATGTTTCATTTAGTTTCAAAGGTACTACAAGATCCCCTTGTATACCAATAGAGGCTGAGACAATTATGTCTTTAAAAAAGCATTTCTTTTAGGGGAAAAGTCAGCCAAACTAATATCTAACAGGATTTTCTCGGAAGCCATTATCTGATCTGGCAATAGAAGGAGAAAGAGTAAATGTTGATCTCTCAGACTTCCTTTAGTCAGCTGAGGAGGAAATTGGGGGCATCGATATGATTTTTCCTGTGTTAACCTTTCAGCCTTGGATGTCCAAACTATAGATATATTAGAATTGAGTAAGAAACTGGACTTTTGATTTCTTCTTTATTTAATTGGGTTTGGAGCTATGACCAGATAATCATAGAGCTGGAAGAGACGCCAGTCCAATCCAATTCTCCCATGCAGGAATATATAATCCAAGCACTCCAATAGATGGCCATCCAATCTTTGCTTAAAGCTTCAGCACTCTCTATATGGAAATGTGTTCTACTGTGGAACAGCTGTAACCACCAGAAAGTCATTCTTACAACCTCACAATCTCTGAGGATGCCTGCCATAGATGCAGGCGAAAAATCAGGAAATAATGCTTCTAGAACATGGCCATACAGTTCGAAAAACCTACAACAACCCAGTGATTCTGGACATGAAAGCCTTCAACATTACAGTCATTCTTAATGTTTATATGAATCTGTTATCCTGTAGTTTGAATCTGTTACTCCATATTTGAATCTCTGAGGCTGTAGAACACAAGCTTGCTCAATCTTCCATTTGACATCCTCTCAAATATTTAAACTTCTATGACAGTTCTGATTCCAAGATTTTTGGATGAAGGACACTCAACTCCTAAATTGAACACTTTTCTGCCAATGATACAGCAGAACACGATAACTTCCTACCTTATATTCTTGGGCAGCTTCCTCCATGGGAACCACATCATGCCCCCAGTGCTCCATGGAGGTGTCACACACCACACAAATCAGGACTTGGTCATTCTTGCAGAAGAAATTCTTACACACTCCCTTTCTTCCCTCTCCCCTTTCCCCCCTCTTGGCTTTCCTGATGGTTTCCACAATTTTTGCCAGTTGTTGGTTTGGCCTCAAGTTCCTCATCTTGACAGCGGCTCTACACAGGGGACACAAAGCCGGAGCTGGAGACTCCTGGCAGTGCTGGATGATACAAGCTCGACAAAAGTTGTGCCTACAATGGGTTAGCACTGGGTCTTGGAATAAATCCAGGCAGAGGGAACAAACTGCTTCACCGTACAGCTGTTTCTTGGGAGCGCCAAATGCCATGCTTGCCTATCCCCGATGAGCAAAAATGGAAATGTCAGCCTTAAGTTTCGATTCTGATTTCAACTAACTACAAAATGTTTGCTCTCTTGGCTCTGTATCCAGGGCTGTGGAACCAATCAGAGAGTCAAAAGCAGTGGGAAAACATTTTCAGCAGAGTAAATAAGGATGGGTGGGGTGGATTGGATCTAACACATTGTCCTTTTCTTCCTCTTTTTTTTTCATGTCAGGAGTGACTTGAGAAACTGCAGATGCACCAGAAGCAAAGCTTTTCTTCTTAATAGAATTACATTAGTTACAATTATTAAAATAATTCATTTTTACAATACAGTAAAAAATAAGTCAATAGAAACAATATAACACCTTCTAGTCCAGCGTTTCTCAGCTTGGGGGTTGGGACCTCTGGGGGGGGGTCGTGAGCGGGTGTCACAGGGTGTCTGTGTGGGAAGTTTGGCCCAATTCTCTCATTGGTGGGGTTCAGAATGCTCTTTGATTGTAGGTAAACTATAAATCCCAGCAACTACAACTCCTAAATGTCAAGGTCTATTCCCCCCCCCCCCAACTCCACCAGTGTCCACATTTGGGCATATTGAGTATCGGTGCCAAGTTTGATCCAGATCCATCATTGTTTGAGTCCACAGTGCTCTCTAGATGTAGGTTAACTACAAATCCCAGACTCAAGATCAATGCCCACCAAACCCTTCTAGTATTTTCTGTTGTTCATGGGAGTTCTGTGTGCCAAGTTTGGTTCAATTCCATCGTTGGTGGAGTTCAGAATGCTCTTTGATTGTTGGTGAACTATAAATCCCAGCAACTACAACTCCCAAATGAAAAATATCAATCCCTCCAATCCCACCAGTATTCAAATTTGGGCATATCAAGTATTTGTACCAAATTTCGTCCAGTGAATGAAAATATATCCTCCATATCTGATATTTACATTATGATTCATAACAGTAGCAAAATGACACTTATGAAGCAGCAACAAAAATAATGCTATGGTGGGCGTCACCACAACATGAGGAACTGTATTAAGGGACTGTGACATTAGGATGGTTGAGAATAACTGTTCTAGTCTATTCTTTAAAAGCTTTAAAGAATTGGTAAGAAAAGGTTTTCACCTGCTACCTGAAGAACAGCGAGGCATTCTAGTGTCCCTGGGAAGGGAGCTGCCACCAAGAAGGCCCTCTCTTGCATTCCACCAGCTGTGGTTCCAATGATGGTGGGACTGAGAGAAGGACATCTCCTGAAGCTCTCAGAGCCCAAGCCAACTCATACCAGGAAATAGCCTGGATCTGTGCCATATAGGGCTTTATGCGCTCTAACCATCACTTTGAATTGTTCCTGGAAAGAAACTGGCAGCCAGTGGAGCTGGTGCAACAAGGGGATTTTGCTTCACTCAGTTAACAATCACTCTTCTTTGCACTAGATCAAGTTTCTGAACCCTGGGTTGTTGTGAGTTGTCTGGGCTGTATGGCCATGTTCCAGAAGCATTCTCTCCTGACATTTTACCTGCATCTATGGCAGGCATCCTTAAAATTGTGAAGTCTGCTGGAATCTAGGAAAATGCTCTTCAAAGACAGCCCTAAGTAGAGCATGTCACAATATTTAGAAAGTCTTAATGGGAATGATATGTTTGCAGTAATTTAAATAAAAGTGAGAGAAATCTAAAAAAGGAAACTTTTTGTGGCTTGAACCTGGCCATTCAGCTTCTTCATTGGCTGTACATGCTTACTGAGTATGCATGAATATAACACAAATATTCCAAAATAATTTTCTTTTCTTTTTAAAAAAAATGTGAAACATGGAACAATTTTGGTCCCAATCATTTCTCATAAGGGATGATCAATCAGTCCTTAATCCCTGCCCAGTGACCTTACCTGGTACTCTGAGGCCACCTCATCAATGGGGAGCACATAGTGACCTCTATGCTCCACGGCCCAGTTGCAGACCATACAGATAAGGGTTTCATCATTCCGGCAGAAGAGCAAGAGGGGCTTCTTGTGCCGTGGACAAGCTGGCTGCATCATATAGGTGCCCCTGTTTTTTTGTTCCATCTGCAGACCTTTGACACGTTCCACGATGTTGGCCAGGTGCCGGTTCGGTTGGAGGCTCCTTGGGGGAATCAGTGTCCGGCACTGGGGACAAGGGAAGGCTCTTCTTGGCTGTCCAAAGAGCCTGGCCACACAGCTTCGGCAGAAGCTGTGACCACAGCGGGTGGTCATGGGATCCACATAGTATTCCAGGCAGATGGGACAGGTGATCTCATCATAGAAATCTTGCGGCAGAGCCCTATATGCCATGGCTGCCCTTTGCAGAAGCTGAAGGAAACAAATCTCTGTGTTAGTTTCATTTCTGGTTTTAATGCATTGCAGGAGAGGAGGAGTTTCAATCTGCTTGCGTGGAGGAACTGTATGCAAAACTTATGATGAGATGGAAGCATTCCTCAAACAACATTTGACGTGTGTTTGTTTTCGATTAAAAACATGGGTGGGACTGATAAGTCACTGGGAGATGAGGTTGGCAGGCAAGTGTAGCTCACAAAACTGGATGGGGGAAATTTATTTTATTTCTTTATTTACGGAATTTATATCCCACCTTTCCCCAGTCAAGGGTCCAAGGCAGCTTAGGGTAAAGGTAATGGTTTCCCCTTCACATTAAGTCTAGTCGTGTCCAATTCTGAGGGGTGATACTCATCTCCATTTCTAAGCCAAAGAGCTGGCATTGTCCGTAGACACCTCCAAGGTCATGTGGCCAGCATGACTGCATAGAGTGCCATTACCTTCCCACTGAAGTGGTACCTATTGATCTTCTCACATTTGCATGTTTTTAAACTGCTAGCTTGGCAGAAGCTGGGGCTAACAGTGGGAGCTCACCCCATTCCTCAGATTCGAACCACCAATCTTTCAATCAGCAAGTTCAGCAGCTCACTGGTTTAACCCACCGCACCACTGGGGCTTAAAGCTAGCAAAAACATACAATATAAAAATTATAAACAAGCTAAAACCATAAATATTAGCAAATGCTGTGAAACACTAATTAAAACCCCAATAAAATAAATTAAATCCACCCTGATGATACGTAACGAAGTCAAAGGGCCTGCCTAACCTTTAGATATCACCTGGGATATCTGAAGGTTAGGCAGGCCCTTTGACTTCCTCAGAAAGGAAGGTTTTTAGGCTCTTCCTGAATACCAACAGATTTTATCTTCCTGGGAGGGCATTCCAAAGAGAGAGGGAGCCACTCCTGAGAAGGATCTTCAAACTGAGAGTGTCACAGATGCTTAAGGACACCAGTATTTCCCCACTTGATCTTAGTGCTCTCCCTGGCATGTAAAAAGGAACCCGATGTCTCAGATAATCTGGACCGATGCCATGAAGGGTTTGAAGGTCAAAACCAGCACTTTGGATGAGGCCTGGAAACTAATTGGGAGCCAATGCAGCTGTTTCAGGAGCAGGATAATATGTTTTCTTATATCCGCTCCTATTAACAGCCAAATATAAGTAAAGCCATTCTGGCCAGTGGTTAAGTGTTGTTATTGTTAACTTCCAAGTCTTCAAGTTGACTTCAACTTCTGGAGGTCTCATGACCAAGAGACGGCCAAGATTCACTATCCTCCGGAGCCCCGCTCAAGTCCGGACTCAGAGTTGTTGCTTTTCTGGTGATGTCTATCCATCTAGAATGTGGTCTTTCTCTTTTCCTCCTTCCTTCCACTTTACCAGCTATAATCATCTTATCTAGCGAGTTGTCCCATAATATGGTCATAGTATGATAGCCTCAGTTTAGTCATCTTGCTTCTAGAGAGGGTTCTTGCTTGATTAACTTGTGGATCTATTTATTTGTCTTTTAACAGTCCATGGCATCCGCAGAACTCTTCTCCAGCACATCTCAAATGAGTTGTTTTCTGCCAGTTTCTGTCACTTCCTAGTTTTTACAACATACACAGAAATTGGGAATATGATGGCACATACTGCATATTCTTGAGTATAAGCCGACCCGAATATGAGCTGAGAAACCCAATTTTACCACAAAAAACCAGGAAAACGTATTGGCTTGAGTATAAGCCGAGGGTGGAAAATGCAGCAGCTATGGGTAAATTTCAAAATAAAAGTAGATACCAATATAATTACATTAATTGAGGCATCAGTAGGTTAAATGTTTTTGAATATTTACATAAAACTGTAATTTAAGACAAGACTGTCCAACTCTGATTAAACCATTATTCTAACCTTCTTCAATGTAAATGTGCTTATGTATCCTTACAATAATAATAGAGTAAAATAATACATGTGATAAAAATAATAATGAAAGTAGAATAATGGAAATGTAATAATAACAGTAATAAGGTAAAATAATAAATGTAATAATAACAATAATAAATAAGAAAAAATAATAAATGTATAATAACAATACAAAATACCTGTCCAAACGCATCTCCTCCTATGAACCAGCTAGGACATTAAGATCATCTGAGGAAGCCCTACTCTCGGTCCCGCCTGCATCACAGGTACATCTGGAGGGGACGAAAGACAGGGCCTTCTCAGTGGTGGCCCCTCGGCTGTGGAACGCCCTTCCTACAGAAATTAGATTGGCCCCCTCCCTATTGGCATTTCGGAGGAAAGTGAAGACCTGGTTGTTCGAGCAGGCATTTGAATAGGCAGTGTAATGAACATAGGAATACGGAACAATGGATGATGAGATTGGATCTTGATTTTACTTGAGACACTAATGACATGTTATATTGATGTTTAACTGTTTATTATGTTATTATTTTAATTGTTTTTAATAGGGCTGGGCGGTTTCGTTCGTTAATTTTGTAATTCGTTAAAAATTCGTTATTTTTTTGATAACGAAGCGATAACAAACCATTCAGGAGCATCTAAAAATGAAACGAATTTTTGAATTCGTTTAGTAATTGCTTCGTATTCGTTTTGTATTCATTTTGTATTTGTTTCGTATTTGTTTCGTTATTATTTCCGCATGTCTGGGGCAAGTTTTATAGTTGCTTGTTTGTTTAATCAGT